TGCGAGGTATATGTAACATATTCTGGACATCTATTTACAAGGCTAGTAGCTTGTTTTAGCTCTTTCCAGGGGGAACCTGCAGTTATTAAGAATACCTTCGGAAGTTTGCAACTTTCGGATATATCATTGTTCAATGCATGGACGGTTATGTAATTGTTGCGTCCATTCCGCCTGTTTACTGACGCATAGTTACTGCAACTGTGTAATGCACTGACAAGAGGTTAAACTGTGTCATCTGATTTGTTATCGGAAGGTCTGTTTATGATCAGATCCAAACCAACATTTTTAGAAGAATGGACACTATTTACATTTCGGTAACTTCATTCTGAGTTCCGAATTTTAAGAGATTCAGGAGAATTTTCAGTGGTGGCAAACTTGTTAATTAAAATGTTCTCCCACAATCAGACTTAATTCTATGACCTCTTGGACTAGGATACGTTCTGAATTTTGACGCTGTTGGTTTGTAACTAGCCTTGTCTGGAAGAATCTTAACATCCATGAATATCTGTTTTTGTCTGATCACGTTGAAGAAAGTTAGAAACTCACTGACATTTATAGATGGGTCGGATATGAACAAGATAAGTGAATACATAACAGGGTGACATTTAATCTTGTGCACACAAATGTTATGTCTCTGGATTTAAGCGGATTAGACTTGATATTTTCTAGGGAATACATGTCCGGTGTATCAGACACCATTTCATTTCTAGATCATTCATTCGAAATCTCCGAGGCAACATCATCCATGAAATTATATATGTTGTTCATGTGATCTAAATTCCACGCGAGTTTGTGTTTGATAAGACACTTGAACAAATTAAGAACGTTGATCTTAGCTTGCAACTTCCTTATATAATCAGTATCGTTGTAGCGACCATTGTCATCATTATTTGTCATTAGAACACTCAGCACGTCTGAAATGGCGAGAACTGGCATAAGCTTGTCTCGTTCTTGATAAATTGAGTAGCATCACTCGTAAAAACTGCCAGAAATCGTGTTGGTAGTTGTATTGCGAACAAGCAGGTGCAGTGTCAGAGATGCAATATGGAAGTGCGTTTAGCAGTAGAACAGAACGAAAAATGTTCACATTGGATGTATTTTAATCTAGAGATTACATGGAAAGATAAACGTTATACTATAAAGCAATATTCAACGACCGAAATAGGTAGTATATGTGGTGCATATTCATACTGAAAGCCTGCATGAGTTAAAGTTGGAGACTGCAGAGACATGTAGATTTAAAGAGGATTAATACCATCCAGAATCAATATGATCCTTTATGACCAAAACAGAAAAGACGTCTTTTTCTGTAAAAATATTGACCAAAAAGTATGACAGACTCACAGAATTAAACAGATTATTAGAACAAGTAAATGAGTTAAAGTATCCAAATACAATTTAAAGTATAGCATATACAATATTGCACAAAGTCAAGACTATGATGGTTCATGATGTATGATTATATGGTTTCGAGTCTTAGATTGAGGTCTAAATTGAATCAGTAAATCCATAAAGCAATCCAAATAGAGTATAAGGCGAAGTATGCAAAAGTCGAAATACAATCCTATATCATGCATGATTATACATGTTTTCAAAGTGATAGATTTTGGTCGTGTGAAATATCATGATGGATGTATGGTCATATGCATTCGATATATGTGCTCTGAATATGCTAGACTGAGACCCTACTTCCACTGTAAAAAACATATGTAGGTGTTTCTGAAGGAAGTTGCTTTTCGTAATCCTAACAGAAAACAATCGTTACTACTCTGAGAGAATACGAAAATAACTATGGGTCTTGGTCTGCGAGTAATTCCCAGTTCGCCATAAATAAAATCGTTTGATTAAAAGTTATTAGAAACCGAAATCCTCTCAGTTTCATTCCAGCACTTTGAAGATAACACAACATACGATCAAATATGCTTCCCTACAGTCCTGAATTTAGTACTCATTCGCTCTAATGATATAATTACATTTTTCCCTTTGAAGAGGCAACAATGTGGTCTGTGCACGTTGCCCGGACTCTCAGTTATCTAGGGGTAACCGTAGTCCACGACCTTGGGGTCAGGACCTACTACTATGCAGTCCAGAAGTACAAAGACGTCAAGACGGAAAATTGACCAACCTGTATTCACATATGTTAACACAACCTTGAAGAAATCAAAATTCGAACATCTCGCGATGTACCGTTAACTGAAAGGCTAGAGAATTAAGACTTCTTCAATATATTTCAACCTACATTGATAAATGAACTGATTTTGATGTACAAAACACTATTAAGTAATTTTAAAAATGACATTTCTCCTCTTTTCATTTCTATTAGATCAGGACAATTCAGTGGACATAAGAGGAGGGTTTGGACGTCAAAAGTAAACAGAAAAAGTTTTTACACATTGTAGTGATATTGGATCCTAGCCACTGGACCGTGTAGCTCAGAATTTAACTACAAAGAAGCATTTCATTCAACGCGTAATATCAGAAGAAGGTCAAAAATGGTGGAGGCAGGAAGGGTGATTGCTATGACGTGACTCAGCAGTGCAAGCGTGTTCATTCTATGTAACTCATGTCTTTCTACCTTAAATATATCATTTTATCTCCAGCTAAAGTGTGTTCTTCAAAAGTACCAAAACTTATTTTGATTTAATGAGAGGACGAGTGGGCATAGACAATGATGTGACTTCTACATAAGATCTTATGGAATAGATGATCACATCATTATAAATCAACGGTTTTAGAATAAGGCCTATTATTATAGTAACAAAGATAAGTACACTCATACTGTACTAGACCAGAAGTATGCAGTCACAAAATCTGGAACCTGCTAAGCGATGAAGTGACATCCACACCTTCAATTGATACATTCAGAAGAAGTCTGGAGACTCATCAAAGTGTACTATTAAAGAAGTAACACGGGTTGTCCACCTTCTGTCTTGAATGGTGAAATATAAATCTAAATCTCGAGTCTGATTATGACGTTTCATCACTCTTTTTTGGAAGGAATATTTAGCAAGCTATATTTTGCATCGTCAGAAACGCTGTTATTAACCACAACTGAGATCTCAGAGGACAAGTAGTTCGTTTAGACAACCGAGCAAAGATCAAGCACTGCAACATTGAGTGTCGTGACACATTCAGGAAGTTTAAACCTTGCGCTACTGTGAGTTTTTTCCGAAGTTGCGTAACATTCTACAAGGTAGACAGAAGTTTAAATAACAGTTTCTTACAAATTACTACTAATTCGCATTTCTAAAAAATTATTGTAGAGTTTCTTCCCTTGCTATTCAAGCTTTTTATCTGGCATATATGTATATTAATATACATTGTAATCTACCGTATACATTAGACTATAGTCTACTGAATGTATAGATATATGTGTACGGGTTCAGAACGTTGCCGTTACTGACCAATCAAAAAGCGGTGTTTTCAGAATAACTTCTTACATGAGTTTGAATTTAGTTTCACTTGTTTCTCAACATTGAGAAATACTTCGGTCTTAACATGTTTTATTAGTTTGAACTCATCTTAACCATAATCCTATATTTTTCCAATCATAACGCTTATTTCAAGTCCTAGAGGCTGTTTCCTGTTAACTTCCAGCTATATTAGTGAATCGCTGATTAATATTAACTAGCTATTCGAATATTTCACTTTGGTGTACGTTCTGATTATTACGTATATTCTAACGTTTAACACCTTAGTATTGTTTGCTATCAGTCCATCAAGACTGATATATAATTCCTTACAGTTGAAAAAAACTTAAGACCCTCAGCCGGTCCATTAAGTCGTATAGTCGATCGAAACTTATCTATGTATGGCATAAATTCCTTTGGATTTGTCTTTTTGCTGCAACTAATGAATTTGCAGCATTACGCGTGTCGTCCATCTGTGTGCAAGTTGTTATGCATGAGAGAATCTTGAGAAGAGAAGTATAATAAAAAAGTGACTTGACTTTTCTGTGAGTTTCTAAATACGTTGAATCCCACCACAACTAATTTTGAGGCCATTTGTTTGTTGAGTGAACAAAGTGTTGATCTTGACAAAATACATCATCTGTCACGTGTGATACATATATTTATCCATATTGAATGTCATGGATGTCTCAGAAAATTACAATGTTATGTCCTATGACAAAATATAATTACCGGACGTAGCATACAAACAAGTATTTACAAATGCACATCCTTTTGGCCTTGTCTCTGTGTAGTTGATCAGTCAAGGGAGTTGCTAACTCGATCTTAAGCAATCACTGTTTGAATTATTTGAGATATCTTACGTGCCTGTACACACACACGACTTCTATATGTTATGTTAGCTCGTATGCAGACATGTCTTGAATAGATTAAGGTCGGATATGCTGCTTTACAAACCCATAAACTCTTGCAGTTGGTTTTCATCATCTACGCTAATTCTTGCTACTCGATAAGGTTGGAAATAAGTTCACGAAATTTGAAAAAAATAAGAAAGCAGTGCTAGACATTTAAAAATACCATCTGCATTCTAAAATCCTTCGCTTTTTCTCTCTTCTAATTCACTTCCATCTATGTTATAGTTCGTCATCATTATAATGCTCTTGACATTCTTTTGTACCCTTTGTTTTTCTTTGTCGTATCACTGTTGTGTGTGGCAGGTTAGGGAGAGAGATAACTCATGGTTCTTATTTTTCCTCTTCATATCACGATGTAACTGGTAGCGCAACCTTCCCATTCCATAAGTTCTTTTCGACATATGTTTGACCTTCTACTAGCTTCTATGAGAAAGACATTTCTAAACGCATATCAGACGTTAATGAAACTTCTTGCGGTTGGTCCATTTTCAAGTCGTTACGAAAGCTGTTAATTTGCACATAAGTTTATTTGCGTTTGGGTTGTTCGTCTTATTTATTTTTACGAAAGATTCTTCTTAGGTATATACATTTTAGTCATTCTTATCTTTTTTTTAGTTTTTTTTATCCTGATCCTGCTACTGTTTCGGATAGAGAGCAATTTTAGTTCACTTGCAATATGAATTTGAAGGATCTTGTAAGTCATTTAATTTTTGAGGTTACATATGGTGAGTTTTTAAAACCATTAATCTTGAGATTATGATAATATTTCAGTTGGTTATTAATTTCTTGAAATCGAAACAATCATCATATAATCGAATGAGTAAAAAGTAGTCATTTTTCCAAAACACTGTGTGAATTAATAGTGTGCATCCTTAATATTACATAGAGCTCAGAACTGAAAATTTTCAGTTGTCGCTCAATCATTCTACTAGTCATGTACTAGGGCTTTCGGATTCGTGGTCATTCTTGGATGAGGGTAACCTTTGGGAAACCCTAAATAAAGTACTCATCTAATTCAACATTTCTTTTAATCCTACCATATAGTCTTCTCCTACAGTTCCAGCTCTGTCCTACCAACGCTAGCGATTCAATTCCTCAGTGTTACTCTTACTATGCTAGTACCACACTCTGAAGTACATCTTGGGCTTTAAAGTTTTGAACAGGACAGGTTTTTGTAAACTAAATTTCGGTAGATTGCAGCTCATGCACTTTCTGACTAAGAGGATAATAGGAACTCGGTGGATTAATTACACACCAATGTCTCTTCATCGTTTCTGCCTACGTTACCAATGATTGCAGTTCGGGTAAATTGAAGGATGAGTTTTAGAAAAGACTGTCTCTTCTACAAGAAGTCAAACACTTAGACGTAATTGTAGCAGTGATTTTATCACCCAAGTAGGTAGTTTGAATTGAAATAGAAGACATTTAGACGGACCTTACTGTGTCCCAGCTCAACGAACAGATGACGACGAGCATCTGTTCAGACAATCGTTTATTCCTAAAAAGTATCAATTTCAAGCATAAGGAGAGACATCGTCCGACATGACGACCAGTAGAATTAACTCAACGATGGCCTCAAACAGGACCATACTGTGATTAGTCATTGTTGGAGAGGCTCAATAGGAGACTGCTGCTCATTCTGTGGCACATGTCTAGACTTTGATCCTGCTCCACTAAGAGAACGTGTTTGTTTGCGTCATACTAGACCCAGAAAATCTAGATCAAGAAGACCCCAAATAGTTCAGGTTTACTATGAAGTAAAGAGTGTATTTCAGAAACAATGAGGAAAGCAGTTAGTCAATCTCTAATGTGACACTTATCTCAATATGGATTAGCATAATATCCAGACAGCTGGAGAAACATCATTGGATTTCAGTAGTGTTTACTCAGTTGATAAATGTTTGAAGTCCCATCTCATCTGGCTCGGAATACAATAAGGAGTAAAGCATTTGTCTAGTGTAGAAATAAGTTAAAAAAGAGCTAGAGGCGGCAAAACCAAAATAGGATAAGTGCACGAGAAAGCAAGCTGTTGGACTGAGCTGTATGGTAGGTGCCTACTACCTGGTTAGGTTCCTCGTGATTATCGTAACCGAAGGTCAGAGACTTCGTATGATATGGCTCGAAATTGTTCACAATCGCGCAGATGGATTCACTCCTTAGCTTTCTTTAGATCCTATGTTTTAAAAATCCTTGTATTTCTTCATTCCACTAATTTAGAATTTCGTTGCATAACCTTTTTAATGGTACTTATACTATCTCCCCTATTGAATTCGCTCCGACTGTTTCATCTGGCTGTGCTTATGAAGTATAGGAACTCGAGCCGATGTACTTATGTCTCAGATTCTGTATTGCGTATGACTTATCGAGAGAGCTTCAATGATGGGTGGAAAATTTCTTAAAATGGTTCTACTGTTCTCAAGCTACCTTAATGTTCCCGAATATCCTGGATCGAATATCGACATAAGCTCCCCAACTCCTAATAAGACTGAAAGGGATATAACTAACCTGGAGAAAGAAAGAAAGCAACGAACCCTGAAAAGCCAACCTCATAGATGTGTAGGACTCGTAGTCTAGTCTAAGCAGCTAGGCTGACCAAGATAGTTGTTTGAGTCTTGGATCTGGACCTAATCCCACCTGACCAGTCTATGTCGCAGGTCGTTTCAGTCTATAACTAAGGACAGAAACTATCTTAAAAATACAAGAGAGAAATCAGTTTGACTAACATTTTATGTAAAACATTAGCCTCAATAGTCAGCTGGAGCTTAATTGAGGCTTGTGGTGTTGGGCTCAAGAAAATCAGATTGGTTTCAAGTTTGGACTTGGATGTATTGATCAGATACCACACCTTTGTCAGGTTCTAGAGCATGCCCACACCCATTATCGTCTCACAGTAGTGGCATTTCTTGACATGAGAGCAGCGTTCGGTTCCGTTAATGAAAACCTCATATAGCAGTGGTAATCATAGAAAGAAGTTTCAAAGAGGTACATGAACCTTGATAAAATTTTCTATTCGAACACTGTTGGTCGAGTCAATGGTTGTGACGAACCATCAACTTCAAATGGTGTTCATCGGGGCTACTTACTTTCCCATTTCTAGTTAAATTTCTCATGAGATTGTATCTTTGTCTAATCCTTCAGGGATTGATCTTTAACTAGGCGATTCACTTATCCACTTGAATTTATTTACTTATTTAAATGCAAATATCGGTACAAAAACGCAACAAAATATATATGCCCCACACAACGTAGTTACCACTCAATTTGCTTGTGAGCTGGGATACCTTCCAGCTTCTCAAACCTAAACAGGTGGATTTTAAGGGCTCGATCCCCTAGCCTTTGACCCAGGCCCCCAAATGCTCTGGTACGGCCGAGAGTAAGGAAAGTCCGTTCACCCTCCCGAACTGCTCTCACATGGAACGCGTATGTAGCCCCTACCAAGGAAGTCCTACTCACTGACTTCTCGTGGCCAGGGTGTCGTTTACGAAATTGAGAGGACGAAAAGCGAATGTCCGACGCCTTAACCGGGTTGGTGGACACAGAGAATCCACCTAGGGGAGTTGGAAAACCCTGATTCCAAACGAATGGTGCACATGGGCTGCCTCCAGTATCCTGAAGGAACAAATGGCGTATGAATCAAGCGTTGGCCACTGGCTACCATGGGACTGCATCTCCGTACGATGCTCCATTGCTATGTGGATAAGACCTTCAGGTCGAAGGCTCCGAGTGTGGCCCCCTAAGGAAACCACCTGCTTCGGTTTGGGAACCCGGGCAGTATCACAGCCCTCAACAAATTAAGTGAGATTTGCGTTGCGCATATATATTTGGTGCCTCCTTGTACCAATATCTATGTGTTCAAATAAAAATAATAATAATAAACCTTTGACTCAGAGGTCTAATCTATAGTATCTAGCACTATGTCAAGCCCACATGGGAACGTTAGCTTCCGGACAGACCACGTTATTTATTCTTGAGTCACATTTTAACCTTGTTAATTATTCGCTTATTAACCTTGACTATTTCTGTATGAACGCATGTATATGTATCACATCATTGGCTTACTTTTATTTGGCTATAAATATTAAGTCACATTTGCTCGGGGTCAATAGGTGTGTGAAGTATACGTATCCCAAATTCTCGTGTTTAACTTATTCCATTATTCTCTAACGCAAATTAAATCGATAATTATATACGAGAGTTAGCAGCGTTTTTTATCTTGTTAGCATCATCATTCAATCAAATTGGTGTCAGATCAACAAACCACGAAAAATCCATAAGGCAGTAAAACGACGTTAAGAGATGCGGTCCCATCATAAACGGTGGCCAAGAATAGGTTCACGGGCCATTTTTCCCTCAGGATCCTGAAGCCCATGTACACCATTGGTTTGAAATTAGGGTTTTACAACCCCACCAGATGAATGTTGCGTAGCCACTGACCAGGTGTAAGCACCGTACCTTCTATTTTCGTCTTCTCAATTTCGTAAACAACAGTAATGCCGCGAGAAGGCAGTGAGTAGGACTTCTCGGCGGTGGTTATATACGTGTGGCAATATGAAGGCATCTCAAGAATGCGAGCTGGATCTTCCCACCTTCAACCGTATCAGGATATTTCGAGGCTATCCATTTAAAATACACGGGTAAAAATCCTGTTTGATGAGGACTCTGATAAGGTAGACTTTTGATTTCCCTGAAGGACAATGTAAAATTTTACTTTAAGACTGATCTATGTCAGTGACTAAACAAATGTTATGTAGCGAAATATTTGAGTGCATGGACTGCTTCACTCATTTCAGAAGTCTCGTCAGCTCTTGTGGGTTGTCATCTGACGAAATCGCAATACAGATTCTGTAAGCTCGGTTGGCTTATGCAAACTTGAACTTTTCAGTGCATAATAATTAATGATAAATATAATCTTGGGGTTACTTGTTAAATTACGCTTACTCTTCTAATTGTATTATTTTACTATAAGTTATTTTAGCGATATAATCTATTTTGCTTCTAATATTGTTTTAGGTTCCTGAAGAACGTATGAAAATCGCTGCTCTTTTAGCAGAGAAAAAGTAAACTTTCAAACATCTAAATAAAATTCACTTTTCCCATTATTAGGAGTACAAATGAGAATTCATGGATGTATGAGAAACCGAAAGATGATCCTGAAGTTTTTTTGTTGGGGAAACAAGTTCAAAGCTTAAACCAAATTCAGGAAATTGGTAAAGGTAAAAGAAAAGAATCGAGTTTTTCCTAAAAAATTGATTTAGAATATGACGAATCACCTGCTCAACGACTTGCTAGATTTGATATGGAAGCCAAATTTCGTGAAGATCCCCTGACAATTATGAAGTGATTATTTAAATCATATTGAGGTATTTTACTCATTTACTTAATAGGCAAAGAGAAGCGGAAAAACGAATAGAACTGCTTCAGAATACAGCTAAAGTTAGGAAACTTCGAAGACTTGTAAGGTCTATCCAATCATTTGATAATATTTTTTTATAGCTAACAGAGCAAAAATTGCGTAAGGAAAAACGTAAAAGTAGAAAACATTTAAAACAAAAACGTCTGCATAAAAGTTCAGATGAATCAGAGGGAGGTAGTTCAGATGATGAATTACTGAATAAGTTCATTGAAATTATTCATCAATCTAATGAACTAAAAGAGGATAGCTCACAGAAATCTATGGATAAATGTAGTAAAGAATCATCTAGTACTGTTAAAAAACAACTTTCAAATTCTTGTGATCAGGAACATGCACTTTCAGACCAAAAGTGTTCAAATGTGAACAGAAAACATCATTCAGAACGTAATCAATCAATTTCATCCTGTTCAGAAAGATCTAATTATCACAAATCATCATCGAATCGACGAAAGTTATCCAAAGAAGAAATCGAAGCTAAGCGAGCCCAGATGATTTCTGATGCAAAAGAACATGAAAAAGAACGTTTACATCGTTCCACTACTCACTATAAGATAAAAAAGAATGAAGAGGAAAGGGAATTAGCCTCGAAATTTTCTCATGGACCATCATTCATTAGTCATTTAAAAAACCAACACGTTGACAGGACTACTTTAGAAGAAGGTATTCATCGTAAAGCTAGTAATCGTCAGAAAGGGGAGCTTCATGATAATTTTATCAAACGTTAGTAGAGGTCTTTTAATTTTCTGATTATATTGTACATAAAAAATGTTTCTTTGATAAATTGCATAAATGTAATTTGTTGTTCTGATAATGAGTTTGACTTTAGTATCCAACTTAAATCTCTTACGCGGTCATGTCATTAACGTTCATTCCTCCCGGTTAATTTGTTACGGACAAATTAGATTCAGATCTATCTCCTAGTTAACGTGTCTTTCAGTAAGTTTACTATTAACTGACTGACCTGATATCGAGTTCTACATCTTCGTGTCTTAATGCCAAATTATTTTAGTTAAGCACATAAGCATTCTCTATTTGTCCTTGTAGGATCCTAGAGCCAATGTTCATCATTGGTTTGGAATCACGGTTTTCGAACCTCACTAGTTGGATCCTCCACATCCGCTCACTTGGTTAAAGCACCGGGCACTTGCTTGTCCTATCAAACCCCGCCGCGAGAAGGCATTTTTATATACGCGTGGCTTTTCGAGAGGGTGAGAGAACTCTCCACACCCTCAGCCGTACCAGGGCTTTGAGTGCAATACTAAATTGAATTCATCGTGGATTCTGAAGAATTCGTAAGTATATGTCACCTCCGTGATTCTGAACTACCTTTCAGGTGATATAGGGTACTGTAAAGTATCTAATTCATTATACATATAATTTTTATATCTCTGTTGTTTATGAAGCACATTGTTTAAGTATACCTTAATACATATGCAATGAATATCATCCTACTAACTCCTATATTGTTTTTTATCTGTCGACCCTAAGACTGGGTGTAAATGACAGGAAGGTGGTCAATTTATGATATTGTCAACGAGTATGAGAGCTGTGGAAGAATATTCATCACGCTTTCCTAGTTTTACTTTGAGAGCAAATACACTTAACACAGAAAACTTTAAAAACAGAATGATAGTCGTCAAAGATCGAGGTACATGACGACTCCAAAGGTATAAGTGAGCAAAACAAAACGACTTTGTTTCCCTTCAAATTCAAATGAATCGTATTACGCCGAAATATATCAAAGCATCTACGATAACTTTACAAAAGTCTAATTGTGAACATTTAGTTGTTTTTTCTAATTATATCAAATCTGTTAGCCTAATGAAAAATCTAAAATGATACGAAATCAACTAGATAACGTAAGCTTACAAGATAATAACGGAAAGTCTTTAATTAATACGAACCATTGTGCAAATAAAGAAAATACATACTTAACAAATACATAATTAGTAGATTATGTAATTAGATTGAAGGTACTGATATCCAGAACTGACAATTTGTTTACGATTGAATGGAATAATAAACAAAACACAATGATAAATAGAGAATATATATATATATATATATATATTCATTTTATTTGTGAAAACGATTAATTTTTTCATAGTGAAAGAACAGTGAAAAATACATATTATTACAAGTATCAAGAACTTGGGAGAGGGGTTATAGCAATAATAGTAATAATAACACACACACACACAGGTGAAACAAATAAAAGTTAAAATGGTGTACAGAATGTATACAAAGACAAGCTTAATTAAACAGGATAGTTACTACAAAATGACTTCAACCAATATAGTAATAATAAATAACTAAATACAAACATTCTATTATTGTAGAAAACAATACACAATTCCAAGATGATCAGGAACTTAAAAAAAAAGGGTTAATATGAAGTGAAGATTATTAAAATATGTATATGTAGTATACGTATAAATACAACTTGAATTGGCATACAATAGATTCATAATTGAGAATAGTCAGATTTACAGTAGATACACATACATTGAATAAAAATTGAAATTTTTACTATATATAAGGATATTTAGTTGATTACACAGCAACATACACTGAAAGAAATAACAAGTGAAGTGTACCATTAATACAGAATCAGTCATGTCAGTATAACAACACAATTGACGACGATAGTGTAGTATGGTGAAAGAGAATGAAACGCAACAATAGAATGTATGTATATATAAATAACCTGGACCCGTCATCCATGTATTAATCAGTAAACATCACGTACAGCGAAAAGTTACGTTTTACAAGGAGGTCTCATACATTTCTTTGCATTAAAAAAAAGAAAAATCAAAGCTTATACATACATATACATGAGACAATGGAAGGTCGAAATTTTTCTTGAAAAAATATGTAATAAAAAGAGAGAAAAAACATTACATAATAAATCGTCTGTGCAAGAGAACGATATTCGCTGAACATGAGGAAATCTTTTTAAAATGGTTTGAGATAAATAGATCATTGCACAAGGAATTGAAGCTTGATAAAATACAAAACATGGAAGATACTATCAAATAAGCAATTTCCTAACGGTTAGTTGATGATCATATAACATTTAGAAGAAAAAAAGGATTTAAGAAAAAGAAGATAAATTGACATAAAGGAAGAGGAAAAGGTATAGCAAACATTATTAATGATCACTACCGTTAGTCAATAGTTCACCGACACTTCTTGACTTTCCACCATTAACATCTACTTCATTAAGTTTGACGTTAGTAGATGTTGGAATACTAGATTTTGTTGTTGATGACACTTGAAAATCACTTGATACATCATTAACTACTTCATACAAATGACTAGTACTGCCACGATCTGATAATTTTACTTTTCCTTTATCATCGTCACAGTTCCTATTGGAGCGTTCATTCGTAGTCGTTGGTGTTTGATTAAATTTAGATGATTCTAATTCGGAATTGTGTTTTTCATGTTTACTTTTTAAGGACCTAATATTATCACCACCACAGAACTCGTCATCAAGACTTCTATGCACTTCCAACGTCTCTTTGGATGAACTCGTACTATCAGACATAAGTGTAGAACTACTTTGCATTTCCTCATTTGAAACTTTCTGAGAATTTGAGTTACTATTATTGGACTCTTTATGTTTTACCCGATGTGATGGTAAAGGTAAACCATTACGCGAAAATGAAGATAAATACGACTGATGGTGAGAGATATGATTAGAATAGCAATGGTGTGAATGACTGGATCGATTCACTGAAATTGACTTCGAAGCTCGAATAGCCATATCTGTTGGAGTTAACAGTGGTGGGAGGAGTGATGCAGCCGAACTGCTATGTGTACTTCCACAACCACGAATAGTTGAATTTAAATTCGATTGAGTGATGTTTGAAGAAGCGTTTATAATATCTAGAGATGGAGGTGGTGATGGAGAATTTAGTCCAACGGCTAAATGTAACTGATTTGTTTTCATGTAGTATTTTTCCATCTTATTAATGATATGTTTACCGTAAGTATATTTACGTAAAATACCTAAATGTGGACGAATTTGAATCATAAGCTCTTTTCTTATCGGTTGTTCAGCAACATCTAACATTTTCTGGATAACATAATTAGCAAACTGATCTTTCATCATCATAACTAAAACCGAACTTCTCGTTCTGGGTTCATCATCATCATCGTCATCATCATTCTCACTAAAACTATCATCAACCCGAAATTCCCTAGATTGATTTTGTCCATTTTGCACAATTTGATTTTCAGTTAACACAGTTTCTTCAAGTATTTCATTGATAAGTGATTGACGTTCAACTCGTGAAGCGTTCGCAACAGCTTTCTCTACAACATTACTAGCGAACTTGTGTACACTCAGCTTAGCTACACGACCTTTGATGTGTTCTACGATTCGGCTCTTATCTTCCGTTTTTCCGTGTTCAAGAACATGCTAGAAAAAAAAAGGAATATTGTATTTAAAATTAGGTATGTGCGAAAATAAACATGAATTTACAATTAGATATGTATTAGGCGCTCTCCTTTAGAAATATCAATAATCTGTATAAGCTAAATCGCATAATTCTAGAAATTCAATTGTGTTTGTTTTGCCCAATTACGATGTTAAACTTGTAGAAAGGCCGTATTGTAAATATATTCCAATTATGGAAATTCAATAAAAAGTAGATACTTGTTTACTAATAAGACAAAACTACTGTGAACATTATAAAAAATCTCAGAAGTGCCAAAAGAGTATACAACAAATCCATGTTCTTAATTGCATCATATAACTTCATAAACAAGAAACAGTATCTTCTATTAAGTACAAAATTTTCACCACCTACTTGAATCACATAATTTCCATACTGATCTTTAACAAGCGCATCAGTGTGTTGGTGTAACTCAGAAAGAATTGGAGTAGTTTGTTCAGGTGTACAGTGCTCTAAAATACGTTGAATAACACGACAACCATACGAATGAGTAGATATCGAATATACCTATGAAGAAAACACATCCACAAACGTCGACGTGAATTAATACACAGCAAGCAATGCAATGAAATAAAATATAATAGGCCCCTTTTTTAGAAATGTAAAGCAATTAGCCCTTGTGATAAATTTGGATAATCTAATAGAAAGAGGAAATTATTGGAACTATGTTGATTAATATCAAAAGGACTTTTGTTGATATTATAGTAATTGCAATAGTTGACATCATGAGTCAATTGAAGCTAGACCATGGAAAACCTGGAAGCACTGGACGACCATTTCGTCCTAGTATGGGACTCCTCAGCAGTGCGCACCCACGATCCGTCTCGCGAGATTCGAACCGATGACCTATCAGCACTAAACCTCTAGACCACTGAGCCGGCATCCTATTTCTAACTTTAACCAGTCCAGTGCTTGCAGGCTTCCCATGATCTCAACCATTGAAATATATATGTGGTCAGAGTGTTCGCAATGTATTGCCTAATATATCACATAGTTCTGGAAATATTCGTCTATCTTCATTAAATTATACTAATCAGTGACAAAAATGAAGTGTAGAATTATATTTAAGATTGAAATTTTCTATTAAAAAAATACTTCATAATGTAAAAGTTAGTTAGAACTTTACGAAGTAATTATTTAGCAAGATAATACCGAAGTTTACACACAAAGCATGTGTCAGTCATAATTTTAGCTTCAATTTATAAAATATGACACAAAATTACGTAAACAATACTGTTATGTAATAAGGAAATGGTCATAAA